CTTACTTCCTCTCTCATTTTAATTTTCCTTTTGCAGACACTATATTTGTAAGGGTTTATGAAGCAAGAATGGAACTTTTGAGGGCAGTTATTATAGGACCTCCAGGGACTCCCTACCATGACGGTCTTTTTGTCTTTGATTGTCTCTTCCCCACTAACTATCCTAAGTCACCACCGGTATGTATTTGGTACCAATATTTGGCTTTTATTATATATTTGGTCTGTTGTATGTATTGACTTCAGAATTTCTTCTGTCAGATGGTGTACTACTATTCAGGTGGTCTTCGATTAAATCCAAATTTGTATGAATGTGGGAAAGTTTGTCTCAGTCTCCTAGGCACTTGGAGTGGAAAACAAAATGAAAATTGGGTCCCAGGGCAATCAACAATGCTACAAGTTTTAGTCTCTATACAAGCTCTTATTCTGAATGCAGACCCCTTCTTCAATGAGCCGGGGTATGATACAACATATGTTGGAGCAGAAGGGCAAAAGAGGTCCAGGAGCTACAATGAGGAAGTATTTATTTTATCCCTAAAGACGATGATGTATACACTAAGGAGGCCACCTAAGGTATAATTACCGCGACCATCTCTGTTATAATTCACTTTGATCTTTTATTTGCAAAAAAAGTTTACTTCTTTCCTTGCTGGAGGATTGATTTACTAGATTGTCTCTATTGAAGTTTGATTCTTTTGCAAAACAATAGGGAGTTTTATTTCCCAGAGTTGTGGTTTCTTGGGTTGAATCGGTTCTGAGTCTAGCATAATTGTAGGACTTAATTGAGCTAGGCTTGTTTTCTCTGCTTACTTTAGTTGTTAGCAAACTATGTTGTAACCCTAACCCGCCAAGTTCCACAATGGAATTAGAAGGGATGCAATGAGGAAGGGTAATATGGTCAGGAGGCAGAGGAATGTGTGCTTTATCTTTTACTCTATTGTCCAATATTGCCGATTATTTTAACCTGAGATGGGGCAGGATTTGGATATTGTAGATTTACCCATGGATATTCAGGTATGGTTTGAGATTCATTCAGTCTTGTCCTGGCCTGTGCTGCTCTGAATATTCATCTTTTAAAGAAATTCAAGCACAATTTATCTAATTTAAAGAGTGGCAGGATCTGTTAGACACAAGAGTTTATTTTGGGAGACTTTGATGTGGTGAAAAAGTTTAGGATTGTGGTTGTATTTGGGCATGGGATACTGGCTGCAGGAGAAGATGACAGCAGCTAGCAATTAAATAGAGACAGGATGAGATTGGAACTGTACAGTGGGGGTCCCTTGGCATGACTTGTAGGCTTCTTAGACAGGAAGCTGTACTCGGATGTACAATATGAAATAGATAGCCAGCTTTAGTATCTGTTAAACTTGGAGTCCAGGAATGCTATTTTGTCTGAGCTAAGAGCTACTGGATTACCATCTATTACTCATCTAGGAAACAAATATTTTGTTATTTCACATGGAGAACTATCGAGTTATTATGGCGTCTAGATCTTCTATGCAAAATGAGTGAGGAAAACGTGGATCATCTGTTTTTACATTGCCCCTTTTCTTCAAGTCTTTGGTGGACCTTGTTGAGGGAGGTTAAGTCTGTTTGGGTTATTCCAAACGGTTGTTTTGATTTTCTCAGTTCCCATTTTGTCGTATGGGGCAGGGAGAAGCGTGCTTTGACCTTATGGGGCTGCTTGGTGCAGTCTGTATTTTGGAACATATGGCTGGAGTGTACCAGGAGGATTTTTGATGAGTATGAGCGAGTGGGTGTTGGTGAATTATGGGATAGAGTTCAATTCTGGGCAGCTTTATGGGCTTCTGTCGCTTCAGATTTCAAAGACTATTCCTACTCCACTATATTGAGGGATATGGCTGCTGCTGTGATGTGAAGTGTTTTTTTGAGTCTTGTTTATTTTAGCTTTTTGCTGGATCTTGTTCGATTCTTTCGGGCTCGTTTCTTTTGGCCCTTCTGGTGTTGCAGACTCTGTGTAGTTTGGCTAGTGTCTTTGTTTTAGTGTGTCTGATTCTGGTTCTGGTTTCGTCTGTTATTCTGTTGTATGGCTTGTGGATGCCTTATCCACTTGGTTTTGTATCTAAAGCTTGCAATTGTTACTTGTGTTCTATGCCAAAAGATAGCAGAATATAGGGAGCTCAAATATGGTTGATTCATTGTGTTATATGACTGCTTGTTGTAGAAGTACTTTGAGAGTACGAACTTTATTATTTTTTAGCATTGCTATTTGTCATTAATTGTCAGGTATATAACTAATGGAACTTAAGTCATGATATATAAATTTTGCTTTGTGAATTTCCATGCTTTTTGAATTCTGCTGGTTTTTCCTTCTGTCACAATCTATGGAACCACTGGGTAATATATGTTAAGTGATGAAATATTTATTATTGGAAAGTATATAATGGAAAGGTTCAAAGAAATGCTATGTATTCCGAAAGGGGAAAGAAGGAAAAAGAGAATTTTCATAAACTAGAAAATCATTTCCTCATGTATTTACTTGGATCGTATGAAAATTGGATTAAATTTTGGATCTTGTAATTTCTGTATTTTCGTCCTTATGAGGTATGGTGGTGGTTCGCGAGGTGAATTTTGCTGTCCTGCCCACTGATTGGTGTACTGAGATGAACATTAGAACACAATACCTTACTCTTCTTTATGGTTTAGTGTGGTTTTAGTAGCGTAGTTGAAAAGTGAATTGTGAGACAGTTCGTATACTATCTTTTGTTTTGAGAAGCACTTTCTCTTTTGTGTCTTATGTTTGTAATTCTATGGCTAAATTAAGTGTACTGAGATGAACATTAGAACACAACACCTCACTCTTCTTTATGGTTTACTGTGGTTTTAGTAGCGTAGCTGAAAAGTGAATAGTGAGACAGTTTGTATATTATGTTTTGTTTTGAGACGCACTTTCTCTTTTGTGTCTTATGTTTGTACTTCTATGGCTAAATTAAGTGGATTTTCTTGCAGTATTTTGAGGACTTTGTCTTGGGTCATTTTCGCAACCGTGCACATAATATTCTGGCAGCATGTAAAGCATATACTGAGGGCACTTTAGTAGGGTCTGTTAGCGGAGATGCAGCCCAGAATGTTGAAAATAGTGGCTCAAAACAGTTCAAGTCAAGTGTAGCTAGGATGATGAATATGCTTATTACAAATTTCACCAAAAATGGATCAACAGAATGTGAGCAGTTTCGAGTTGGAGCCTAAATCACAATTGACTAGCTGACATGATGGGACTGGGAAGGTAATAAGAGCTAAAGATACATTGGCATGGTGAAACAAATTCCTTGGACATGCATATAGTATTTTTGTTCCCCATGTGCTTTTCAATGCTCTGCTATTTTGGAATTGGTCGGTTAATTTTCAGTATGTTTTATGTTTTGGGATTCCTGGCATATGTAAGTATAAGGTAATGACTTTGAACGGGACTTGGCTCATTGCTATTGTGCTCTAATTGGAATGAATATGGCCGTATTAATATATGCTTTATGCCAATTCTGGCCAAAACATTTCTTATTCCAATTCCTCAATACTCAATCCATACCGAGATGCGTGTGGCGAGTAATACTTTCCGATCACCGGTTGTGCACAGCCATATCTACCTCTTTCATCTATGACCTATCTCCTGATAAGAGGCACATGGTCGTGTACAACCGGTAATAGTGAAAAATTCTGGTAACCATGTTACATGGTACTCAGATAAAAGAATCTCTATTTTTGGGTAATAAGTCAAACTTGTTACTCAGGAAACGAAGCTTGATTTAAATTCGCCTGTCCATATTTAATTTTCTTTTTCAGACGCCTACCCGTATTTGATGGGTCTAAAACTTGGATTGGATATACAATATACAACTTACTTCGCTACAAGCAAGAGCTCTCACTCAACCTCCTTGTTTTAAACAAACAACTCTTTTAACTACTCTAAATTTCTAACCTAATTGCCAATGAGGTCTAGCCAAGTGAAACAGACCTATAAGAAAGCTGAGAGCCCTATGATTTAGACTATCACTTGTATTAAAAAGAAAAAACAATTCTAACTTAATTAAAAATATATATAGGTTTCACGTTCACTTTGTTTTCCTTCGTTCTTGCCATCTTCTCCCCCTCATCCCCTTTTTATATCTCGCTCTTCCCCTCCTCAGCCATCTCCATCCACTCACCCAACTGTATTCTCTAGGTTTTTCATGTTTGCATGTTAATGACTATGTTCTCTGTCGTATTATAAACCATGACAATACTTGGCTCTTGATTTCTTCTCAACACAAGATGTGGCCTCTTACAAAACGACACATCTTTCTTTTCTTTTTTTCTCTCACCGACTCTCTCTCTCTCTCTCTCTCTCTCTCTCTCTCTCTCTCTCTCAGAAGATTAAAAATCTTTAGAACCCTAATATCCATTTGGTTTTTGGTTCGGATGAGTCCTGTTGACTCTCCCGTATTTTGGTTATCATATCAATTAAGATTTTAAAAGATTATTTTAGGTTAAAAAAGTTTGGTGATATTCAATTAAGACTTTTAAATAATCTATACAAGTCTTGTGGTATTCCATTAAGACTATTATGATTTTTAAAAGAGAGTATTAAAATCACATGGTATTCAATTAAGACATTAAACAAGTAACAAAAAATCTTATGGTATTCAAAAATTTACTAACTTCGAAAGATTTTTAAAAATGTGAGATTGTGTGGGACTTTTTAGTAGGAGGTATAAATACCAAACCCTACTCAAATCCCACCCTAGGCATGAGATTTTTCACGTGAGATTTTTTTTTAGGTTTTTTAGGTTTTAGACATAAAAAAAATTTCACTTTTGGAAAAAGCCAAAGCTTTTTCAAAAAAGACAAAAAAACCGCTAAACTTTCAAATCAAAGACATGCAAATGTATTGGATTCCTTAGGAAATCTAAAAATAAATAAGGGCATTTTTGTCCATTTTGCTTCTTTTAAAATTTTTCTCTCTTATTTTGCTTTTTCCAAAATGTCCCTTTTTTTTCTCGGAAAAAGATGAACACCAAGCTCTGCCGAAGGACCCGCCAAAACCCATTGATCCAAATCACAAAACTACCCTCTCCAGCAATCCCCAGGTAATCTGCCCTCTACATAACCATGGCTCATGCTGGTCTTGCCTTTACAATTTTTATACTTTACGCTGTGGGCAATCTCTTAGAGGAATACTTGAGACGAATTCAGTGGGCTGTGCTTTGTTTAATTCCTCTCAGAGGTGTACAACGAAGTCTGGGTATTGTTGCAACATCTGTTTAATTCCTCTTAGCTGTTCTTGTAATCCTCAGCTCTCAGCTGGTTCCCACCATCTGTTCGACGAAATGCCTCAAAGAGGCTTTGCTGCAGCAGCTGGGAACCAATATGCCATTGTCCAGGGATGTTAACTTACCTGATATGCCATTTGTGACTGAAACAAAAGCCCAGGAGGACCTCCCTGTCCCTACCCTTTGTAAATCAGAAACCGTTTCAGGTTTGGCATCTGCTAAGCCCGGGCAAAGTTTTGTATGGTTCCTTCCCACGATCATTGAATCTGGTTCTCCAGCAATCAATCTTGATATCATATACATTTTCTCCATAAGGGCCATAAGGATTGCATTTTTCACAACCAACAACTTCAGCAAATGGTGCTCTGTCAATGGTTTCCATACTTGATTGCACCTGTGCTCGAGTTTCTTCCAATAAAGGATATAAATAAGAAGAAAAATAATGCTGAACCGAATCAAATGATTCAGGAATTTTTTGCACCTGAAACAGTACTCAAAGAGGCTCAGTAGCTCAGGTGGAATATACTCCAGTGGGGTTTCAGCTCAGGACTGTGTTAGTAAAGGAGATAATGTTTCTGACAATCTGGTTGCAACTGAAAACAAAATGGCAAATTATCCTGATGATGGGGTAATTAGTGACACTATGACAAGTAGTGATGTAGTCGAGGATCAAAAAGTTGAGATGCGGCAGAACTTGACTGAACTTGAAGGTAGTGTTCAAGCAGCAAGGGACGATGGTTTTGCTAATGGGAGTACTACCATTGATTCTGTCGAATGAGATGTAGAGAATTCAGCTGAAAATGCAGCAACCCAAATCTAAACTTGTTCAATGTTTATGTGGTTTTCTCTTTCTTAATATGAAGTAGAATTTATTATTTCTGTTTTTTTTTTGGTTGCTGAATTTGCTCAATGTGTAGAAAGAATTAACCCAACTTTGTGTTTTTATTATCTTTGATTCTCGCCACCATTCAAGAGGGGCAAATGGTTTCTAGCATAATTGCAGTTAGCATTGTCAGTTTTAAAAAAAATAAAACCAAAACTTATTTAGCTGATGTGGTATATTCTAAGCCATCAGATTTTTAAACTCATAATCCGTTAAATCCGTGTGGTCCTTTTAAATCTTATAAATTTTGATATAAATATTTTAAAATACATAAGTAAAAAATCTTGATTATAACAAATCCATTAATAAAATCCCATATGTCATTACATTTTGCTTAAATCCACAAGACTTTTTTATCCCTAAATAGTCTTTTAAAATCCCGATTGAATACACCTCCCAGTTTCATAGGAAAATATGATTTTGTTTTTTGATTTTTTATTACCGTTAATAATTAGAGTAGATTTACTAGAGCCTAAAATTTATTCTATGATTAAAACCGATTTGATATATTACCTAGTGCTAAAACGGTTTAGGTAAATTTTATAACATACGCTATTGTGTGTGTGTTATATAATATGAATTAATCCTTTTACCCTGTCAAAATAAAAGTAAATTCCAAATCATAAAATGAAAGCTAGGAGGATAAAAGGAAGATCTTGCACATAACTTCTCATCTTGAAATGAGGTGAATTGCAGAAATTGTATTGTTATAGCCTGTGTTTTCTTAATAGATTATAAGAGATTGGAAAATGAATTGGAGGCTAGGGGACAGACTCAGGATTCCAAATTGGGGTGGGCTAAATCTTTAAGAGAGGAGGAGCAGAGTCTACAGGATCAGCAAGGCCAGTGACGACTTCAGGAGTCGAAAGTTGAGTAAGCAAAATTTACATGTTAAACTCAACGGTATGAAAAATGTTCATATTAAACTCAACGATATGAGTGAATTTTATTATATATTAAAATAATCAAAATTTACATATTAAATATTTTTTTTTTTGGTGAAGAGGCGACATCTTTTTTTCTAAGAAAAGAGAAAAACATGCCTAAATACAACACATTCAAGCACCAACAACAAAACAAAAAAGTATTAAAAACACACTTATAATAAAATTATATAGTATTCTTTACCAACAAACAATTATATATAGTATTGTTTATTTTTATACCACCCATGCGTGCCGGCCTGCCCAAGCCCAAGGCAAACATTTGTTATTTTTTTTTAGAGTGGTTATCTAGTGAGAACGCTTATGTGCGAACGTTATATGAGAACCAAATTCAGCCATCCAAATTATCTGAAAGGCTAAAGAGAAAAAGTAAGCTTACGGAAAAAACGGGTAGGCTGCAGTTCCTCTTAGAGCAACTCCACCACAGCCCACTTAGCCAGGGCAACAAGCCCCCCCAGCTCAAAATGGATCTCCAGCACAGGAAAATTAGCCCGGGCAAGCCCTGGGTCCCATCAGCTCGGGCAAGCCCAAGGGCAGATCTTGCCTGGGCTATTGCCCTCGGGCTGTTGATGTCAACGTGACGTCAGAGTTGACCCACCAACCCACATAGCCCAACGGTTATATGCCACGTGGCTTCTCTTGGAGCCTCCGATAAAAAAATCTTGCCCAATCCAACGACTGTCCAATTTTTAGCTTAAAAAAATATCAAAAAATTCTAGAATTTTTTTCTATAAATACCTACCAATATTATTCACTTTTCACACCAAATCTTCATACAAATTCATCTCATTCCAATATTTTTCACTTTCCACACCAATTTATCTACTACAAAATTCCATTTGTGCAAAAATACAAATGGCCTCTTCCATCGAAGCCGGAGGGTTGTGGACAAACATTCGAGGAGGTCAAAATCTTGGCGACAAGGTAAATAAAAAAACATGTCATTTTATTCAATTTAATGTCATTATATATATATATATATATATTTCTTGCATTTTCAATTTCCTTTTTTTTTAATAGATTATTCAAGGGAAAACAAAAAATAGGAAAACCATTACACATGGTTCCTCAAGTGAACAATGCCCACAGTCGGTTCTAGTGGTGCGTTCCGTGTCAGAAATAATGGCACTATTATGTCCTCCGAAGGAAAATACTCCCCCACGTCGTGATCCGATGGAATCGCCTCTGCCAATGATGGAGTTGTCCTTGTATTCCATTGTGTCAGACTATGAGGACCGAGAATATTTCAATTGTATGATGAGTGAGTAGGTATTTCAATTGTATGATGAGTGAGATATGAATTTTATAATAAATATGGACACGTGGCAACCGAAAATTTTATCCGAAAAATGTTATCTTTAATTTTAAGTGAGAATTTTATAATAAAATTCCAAACACGTCTTATATGTAGCTATCCGGATTACAAAATTCCAAAACATATACTTAAACCCAAAACATTTCTTACTTTTTCATTAATTTAACAGCCAAATTCAGAAATGATAGAACTAACAACAATATGAGGATTTTATTAATGCCCTTCAGTATACAGATTACTTCAGCATATGCATTAAGTTCCTTCACATCCACCTGGCTTTGAATGTCAGTGGGGTGTTGGCTGCTGTCACCCATTCATAGCCACTACACCTTGTAGCTCCCTAAAAAAAAAAAAAAAAAAAAAAAAAAATTACATTTTCAGTCTGGGATTACAATGTCAGACCATATTCTTTTCTTTGGAGCAGCTTCAGTTTGAGATTATTGTTTATGATATACAGCTTATTCGGTTTTACATATGAGGTTTGGGAAGATTATACTTACATATGTATGTCCCCTGAAACAAAATAAGTTTGGAAGCTAGAACGAATGGATGTTATGAGAAGAAGACTTTTCTGTGACGATGGACCTAGCAACTCAGATTGGTTAAATGATCAAAACCATTAGGTTAGTTTGATATATATATATTTTTTTTTAGTTCATTGAAATTTATCTGAAATTTGAAACCAAAAATCTTATTCGAAAATTTTATCCGATTATGAGATATGAATTTTATAATAAATATTGACACGTATGAACCCAAAAATCTTATCTGAAAATATTATCCAAATTAATTGTTTAGGTAAAAAAATTTGTGAAAAAAACAAAAAATTAAATAGTATTTGCCCTATGCCATGACAATGGATGGAAACACACATTGCGTTTTGCTTTTTGCCATGACAATGGGTGGAATTGCTCTAAAAATAAAAGGGAAAACAGAAAAATAATCTGGGCCTCGTTGGGGATAAAAAAAAACAACAGTTTGACTTCCAATATTGTGGTCAAAGGTCAGAAGTCCAAATAAATCTTTGGGCTACAACAAGACTTCTTTTCTCTTCAGTATTGGCTTTCGTCTATCGCCCGACCCGACCCTGTTGCCTCTCAAAATCCCGAAATTTATTTGACAAACAAAATCCCTAAACCTAATCCTCAGAACGACGTCGTCGCTGGTACCACCGGAGCCGTGATGAGCCCTCTGTCAAGTTGGTCAAGAGAAGGTACGCACTGGCTCTTTCCATGGCTATCTAATCGGTTAAATTATGTTGATATTGTGTAGGCGGCAAAACTGTTCCACAGTGAGTGAGCACGGTACTTTGGATGGCGGTTTATTTCTTCTGGCTTAATTTTGAACAATATGTACACTGTGCTTCCTTACCAAAAAGGAAAGGATTTAAATATTTAAATATTTAAATATTTACAATTTAGAATACAAGTATTGAATCCATATATAGATAGTCAATCAAAGGCACGTATAGATTTTGTTAGTTAAAGATGTTTTATTACCACTAGCCTCTTTGCACGCGCTTCCGTCTTTGTGAGAGACATTTTTTAAAATTTTTTAAAAAAAATTTATTTTAGAATTAAAAAATAGGGACATTTTGGAAAAAGCAAAAGGAGAGAGAAAAATTTTAAAAGAAGCAAAAATGGACAAAAATGCCCTTATTTATTTTTAGATTTCCTAAGGAATCCAATACATTTGCATGTCTTTAATTTGAAAGTTGAGCGGTTTTTTTGTCTTTTTTGAAAAAGTTTTGGCTTTTTCCAAAAGTGAAAATTTTTGGAATAGTGATATATATATATATATATAAACCATTCTCTACCTTTTACTTTATATATATATAGATCACTGATAGAAGTTTTACGTACATTGTTTTTGAATTTTTTGAATTATTTTTCCATTATTAATTGTTTTATCCAACGTTATTAATTGTTTTGAATTTCTAATTTTTAAAACAAATAAAATTTGCCATAATCTAATATATAACGGGGTCAAGAAAATGAAGTCCATTTGGTAGTAGGAAAGGAAAAATACTTTTTTATTTTATTTTTAATCCTAATCTTTCCGCGTGGTTTTCACTTTATCACGCGTGTATCACTGCTACAAGTTTCCCCGAGTGACAGCACCGACCTTCATTCTGGAATACTCCCTCCATTCTTCGTCTCTCTCTCTCTCTCTCTCGCTCTCTCTGTTTCTCTGCAAACCCTAAACACTGCACTCCTTAGTTTCCGAAACTCTCTCTTCTCTGCAACGACCGAGTGAGCGAGGTGAGTGTTGGGTTGAGTGGTTTAAGAAGCAACGAGTTCTCGCTCTGTTTTACTGCAACGATCGAGTGGTTTTCTCTTTCTGGGTTCAAGAAGGAGCGAATTTTCTCTCTCTGTTTATCTGCAACGATTTTGTGGTTCTTGGGTAAAAAAAGCAACGATTGATTTCTCTCTCTCTCTCTCTGCGTGCAACAATTTAGCGCATTTTGGGTTTTGGAGTCAAGAATCAAGAATGGCGTTGTCTACTCGAAATGGAAAGCGCAGACAATTCGAAGATGGTGTTGGTGCCTTTGAGAAGAAGAAGAGGTCTTGTTCTAGGGTTTCTGAGCCCAAACGGAATGTAGCCGTGGAGGAAAAGCCGACTGCTTGTCTTCCTCT